CCACCAGCCTCCCCACCACCCACAAGACCTGACAAGTCACAGAGGTGCACCCCCAGCCCTCCTCAGGGACCACGGCCCGGGTAATTACCCAGGTGGTCCCCCAGCCGTCAGCAGATCTCCCTCCCATGCCCATCAGGGACAACAACAGCAACAACAACAACAACCATCACAGCCCCACCAGCCACCCCCGCTGTCTCCGTCAGGAGCCCCACTCCCTCATGGAGGTCCCCAGCACTATAACGGCTCCCTACCTCCACCTCCTACCAGTGGTCACCTGGCCTATGACCGCCGGTCACCTCTGTCAGCCGGACCTCACCATGCCTCCCACCACAGGCCTGCAGACCTCACATCTGCTCCCCCACATCCACAGCACTCTCCTGTCAGTTCTGCCTCAGGATACCCCAGACCCAGCAGCCGGGAACAGGAGTCGAGAGCCTCAACTCTTCCTCAGCCCATGGCCATCCCAACGTCACAGCCACCACACTCTGTGGGAATCCCATCGCAGCCCCCGCAACCAATATCTCCTGAGGAACAAGAAGCTCACAGACTCCGGATCTCAAAACATGAGCCCATACAGAACATCATCGGACGTCACCCACACAGCGACATCCTCTATCTCATCTGTCGCCTGTGTCGTCAGACGTATGGGAGCCCATATGGTTTTAGAAAACATTTCCGAAACCAACACGGGTTTGAACCCAAGGAGGAACATACAATTGTCCAAACCATCTCAGCCACCAAGACAGCACGGGCTCACACAATTCCTCTGGATCAGCTAGACTCCAAGGTGCTATCATCGCTGGCCATCAAAGAAGAAAGAGCGAGTACTGAGGAGCTGAGTGGGGAGTCAGGGAATGTCAAATCTTCCTCTGGCTGGCCTCACAGTGCTGGTAGCACAGACACACCTCCAGGAGACAGCGAGCAGGGAGAGGTGGTCAAGAAGTCATTGTCAGAGGACACCAAGTACTTGGAGTGCGTAGAGTGTGGTGAGACCTTCCAGCTCAACGACTTCGGCTCCTACAAGCGCCATTGTCGCCAGCACAGTATGAACAGGAGTAGCGGCCCTTTTGCCTGTCACGACTGCAAGAAGTCCTTCTCAGAACCTGCTCACCTACAGGAGCACCTGGACACACACAGCACGTTCACCGCCAGTGTCTGTGGCATCTGCCATACGTTTTTCTCCTCACCGAACTACCTAGCGGAACACCTGCAAGCAGCCCACGGTCATGTGTACATTCCCAGCGACAAGACGGCTAGTGAAGGGGACAGCATCGATCTCAAAGTGGAAAACTCTGGGGGTGGTCACTCTGAAACATCGGCTGACGGTCAAGACAAGGGTGTCGGAGTGGTCAAGACAGGGGCTGTAGTGTCATTATCATCATCGTCTAGCTCGATGGTGGTGGTGACCAGTGCTGTCACGTCATTGTCACAGCTGCAGGCCAGTAACATCAGCTCCTCGCCTTCACCCGCCACCTCCTCCTCCTCCCCGTCCATGTACGCCCCCCTCCCCCTCTCCAAACGGCACCGCATGAGTCAGTCCAGCCTCAAAACCCCGCTCTTCACTGTCCACACACCCAAAGGCCTGGAGGTCCAGAAACTTCCGGCAGACGCAGTGGTGACCACAGCGAGTCCAGACAGCAGCTATGACGAAGCCAGGTTTAACCTTGACTCTCAGCCCGGTAGTAGCACAGGAGGGGGAAGTGGTACGAAGTCTTCCACGGCTGCCACTCCTGACGCTAACAATGCTTCCTCTGACTCTGATATGGTGCGGGACAGTGTCTGGGGAGGAGACGGTGGGAAATCACACTGTACTGATGACGTTCGGATGGACATAGGCAACGTGATCCTCAACCTGCCCAAACAGCCGGAGGATGGAGGGCTTGGGAAGTCTGGTAATCGTGACGACACCGAGTCCAATTCTTCCGAGCGCTGTGCATCTGTAGACTCCAACAGTTTGTCTATGGAAGGTTCGAGGGCTTCATCACCAAGAGGGGAAGATGCAGAGAAGTATTACAAACACAAGAAATACTCTCGACACCGCAAACGTTTGAGCTCGAGTGAGGTGGGAAGTGAGCCGGAGACCAAACTCCGTAAGGGGGATGTGGGCACACCACCTGCCACACCCCCTACCACCACCTCCGCCACCAGCAGTCGCGTTGACCAATCTGTGACGTCCTCTGTGACGTGTAGTGTGACACTGGGCGACTGTGAGTCTTCATCTTGTAGTCACTCGGAGTGTCCAGATAAGTCACAGGTCACAGACAGCAGTTCTACAGGATCAGAAGATGGCAAGGGAGGGAAGGGACAGGTGGGAGATGGTGTTGCTGAAAAGTCTAGTAAATCTGGGAATACAACGACAACATCGAATGTGAACACTGCCAAAGAAGAAGATAAAAAAGGAGCAGACTTCAGTAAAAACAGCAGTCAGTCGGACAGCTCAGATGGTGGGGCAAAGTTCAAATGGGAGAGACTGACCAGGAGTCAGGCCGGGAAAACCTCCCAGCCAGTCAGCTACAACACATCCTGACCTCTAGAGAGTCTGCTTCTTGTTTTGTCTCTTGTGACTCTGTGGATGATTCGAAAAACATTCACTCACAGACTCCTTGACCTCACAGTGGCGATGATGACAAAAATCACAAACTGAATGACTGCTGGATCTATTTTTAGGCATTGAATGGAAGAACATTTTTAACAATTACAAAATTTATGTTACCTCATACTATTGCTGTGGGTGGTTGACAGACATTCTGCTGTGGTATCAAACATCTATCATCCTTATCTCTTCTCTTACTTTTATTTGTATGTTAGGGCTACTCTCTTGTAGCACCTCTAATTTTCAGCACTTACTATAACCTATTAGTGTTGCATGTGCTGTAAAACTCTTCACTAAAACTAAACTGAACCAGTGCTGGTTTTGTTGAAGCTGAAAGAAAACAAACAAATGTAGGATGTGGTAACTGGTGAACTATTCTCTGTCACATTAAGCTCTTCTCCTGGCTAGTTCCTGATAACCAGACGCCCTCGATAAGTGACAGTCCTTGAGCCGTTCATCGTCTCGTTGTGATTGTGCCAATATGGTAATCTTTCCAAGGAGAAAAATGTCCTACTTATCAACTGTTACTGTTAGAAAAAGGATCCAGGCGTATGTTGTGTACTGTTTTGGATCTTCTATAAAGTTCACAGAAGACATAAGTTTGATTTCCATTCCGAGAAGTTATTGTTGATTATCGCCTATAATGGGAACGATTTTTTTCCAAAATATAAGGTCCAAAAGTACGCCACATGAATTACACAACCATTACATAATCAGGATCAGGCCCAAAGAAGGGGAAGTAATACTTATGATTTATTACAAATCTGGATATGAGCTCGGCTCAAAAGGTGCCCAACAGACTGGATATACCGGTATTAAAAACTTTTAAAGGGGCTAAAATAATTATGATGTGACATTGCTTTAGGTCCCTATGATTGTAAAACGAATCATTAAAAGATAGGTTTTTTGTATGACTACGTTTATATGCATCCATAAACATTCACACACACCCCGAGTCACTTGCTACTGATGACAACAATTGAATTTTAAAAATGCCACTCAAATATTTTCCATTGCTGAGAATTTTATTCACAGACATCATTTGATGCAAATAAAGTAATATCCACAGGCAATTGTTTAAATAATGTTACTGTCAGTATTCTTTAAACCAAGTAAAGATAAGCATGATAATGCACAAGTAACCAATGTCATAAGTGACCCCTGTAATAGCTGATTAAGACATCAAGTAATCCCCCTCATGAAATGTATTGTTCACAAAGGTGTTAATAACACAACATCAAGTATTTAATAGAAACAGTTTACTTTGGTGTCACTTGCGACAAAATAAGTATGACAAGAACTAAGTTCATAAGACAATACATTGAATATCATTTTATTCCAATATAATAGGTACCCCAAACGGTCTGCCGATCGCGGTAGACAGTGGTCTTCCCGAGGAGGAAAACTGTCGTACTCCTCAACTTCCCAAACGTAGCTTTTCCCTCATGATTGCTTGGTTTTAATGAAATACAAGCCAGTTAGAAGAGCTTGTTTTGATGAAATATGTGTGCTGTTCATGGTCCATAGAATTGATATGTGGAAATATGTTTCATATAGCTCTCAAATTTGGGAAAATAATTTATAAAAGCATTTTGCGTCTGACTGGCGCCCGGCATCGATATCTTGCCACAACCACTCTTGTTTTAACATAAACGGCTCGGTCGCGATTGCGCGTACGAAAATAACTTTTACACTGTTTGAAAGGTCAAAATCTTACCTTTATCCCCATAATAAGCAGTAAGCATGTCGGAATTTACTTGAAAAATAGCCTGAGATTTGAAGTGGAAAGACAATGTTGTCAGAAGTTTCGTTAAAATATCAGTATTCTGGACATTTTTTCAGATGTGCTTTACGCGTTCAGTTAGTTCACAACATATTTGTTTTATTGAAGCAAGTACTCAAAGTTTATTTTATCGTGGTACCGCTATTGGACGTCCAACTGTGGATGCATGTGTGGGGAAAATCTTTCTGTTTAACAATGGCTGAAGAGACAGCTGTCAAGGCACTCGACACACCGACTGCAATCAGACGGATTACGATGGGAATACGCTAAAACAACAACGAATCTGCCAACCAACCGTGTGATTTGTTCAATCTCATTAGTAAGTAAGTAATTTAACGTTTTAGTTGTTTAAGATAGATCATGCGTCAGGTTTTTCCGAAAAAAAAATTAATACTTAAGCGACTGGTCATTTCACTGGAGTCCATACCCACTGACGGAACAGTCAAATGATCTAGATCTCTATCCCTTGAAACAGAAAGTAGAAATGTTGCTTCCGATTTCGCACATTTTCAAATTAAATTAATTTTTTTTTAAACCGATATTTTGTTAAGTGACGATAATTTTTAGAATTGTTGCCTACTTTTTTGTAACAGCCTTTAGTACCCAGCCATGTCATACACTAACTACTACTTTTTTTCAGATAGAGCTTGGAATGAATTTTCCAGTGGTAAATTTGACATCTGTCTAGCATTATAGTTGGTTTTTTAATTAATTTTTGAGGGGGCGGATGTTTAGTTGAACGCAGCTAATTTTTCAAATTTTTGCCTACATTTTAGTAACAGCCTTTAGTACCCAGTCATACCATACAGTAACTGCTACTTTTTCTTAGAGTCTGAAATTAGCTTTCCAGTGGTATATTCGACAGCTGTCTTGCATAATTAGTTGATTTTTTATGACTTACATAAAAAGGCCCCAAACTACAATTTTGTCATTTGTTTCTTCCCCTTAGGCATTTTTGGCCAGCATGCCCTTTGGATAAGATAACAATATATCTCTTGTATTTAAGCTTTAACCCTTTAAAAAAATATAGTAAAATCTCTGTGTGTATATCTTACAAGATTTGCATTTTGATAATTGTCTACCCATAAAAATGTTTATTTTACATATTTTCTAAAATGGGGTTCCAAGCCATTCGCCTCCATTTTTAAAGTTCATTTTCATGTTTTCTTTCGGTTTTGAACAACTCTAATGACTACAATAGGTACATGAATTATATTTTAATTAGTTATACGCTAAGTTTGAGTGTTTTTCTCTAAGAATATTATGTTAAACACTTTTGATTTTCAACATTTTTCATGGAGCGTGACCATGAAACAGCATTGTGAGCCAGTTGCACACTCGTCGTCCCGATTTGTACAAGTCCAATAAATATTTCAAACCTCATATCTCAGGTGTGTGTTGATGGATGCTGATAATTCTTTTTTTATATAGTTCTTGATTCACTGAATACTATATATGGAAATTATAGTTTTGTTATGGTATTCTTCAACAACAAAAATTCCCTTGTGGTACCTAAATATTACAAAGTGCACGTCTCTGGAGTATCATGTCAATTTAAAATAACTATTTGTTGAGCTCCTGTGTTATTGAAAAATGACTTCATATCCTGCCAGTGCACATGGCATGCATATGTTCGGCCATGACAGGCTGATATAGATCAAATTACCAGACTTCATTGGCCAAAACATCCACTGCTTGGGCCATTGCTTTTCAACTGCTGGGTGAGCAGCTGATATCTTAGACACTGAGGTCCAGTGCACGTGTTGCATTGTCATCTGACACAATATGAGATTGTTAAGCATTACAAGAAATAGCCCTAGGCCTCCGGGTATACACTGCAAATTAAAGTGACAGTGGGCCAGAATAAAATTCCTGTCAAATTTAAGGGAATGGGAACAGGCGCAAATTGATAACAAACACGAAAACAGTGAAATGCAGGGTAGAAATGTTCTACTAAAAGTTTCCAATAATACAATGATGCTCTTTCAAGGTCTCTGCATGTGTTGCATTGTCATTTAACACAACATGAGATTGCCAAACATTTAATGGCCTGTAGGCCTTAAGAGTATACCCTGCAAATTAAAGCAACAGTTGAAATCTGTTACAACTGGGGAATATAGGGGGCCAGACCCCTATGAAATTTAAGGGAACAGGAAGAGACGAGAAGAGAATATAAAAACCAAACATTAAAACTAAGTGAGATGCAGAGTAAAAATGTTCTAAAAGTTTCCAGTTATACTTTTTTCTCTACCATTCATCGACTTTCCAATGCTTCGCAATCTCATGCACTCTTCTCGAGTAAGGATATAATCTCATAGAGGGGGCTCTCATGAAACTCTCTGTCTTTTGAGACCTTTTCACTCTATTCCCACTTTGACCTCTTTCTAATTATAGTTTGATCTTTTATGTTCCCTTTGATAGATTCAATGAGGGAGGGAAGTAATGCCACAGTTCTGGCATTCTCGTTCTATACAGGATCGCCCCACATTCTGGCACAGAGTCTTCTCGACAAGAGCTTCAATGGTATCAACTTTGTCATCATTACATGTAATTTCTTTATTCAATACATGTACCTCCATAAGGAGCATGACATTTGTGCATCTTTCGCACAGACATTTTGTTCCTCTTTCTTTTTCCCCTGGCTAGTCTGAGGGAGTTCGCCATTGCTCTCAGCTTTGGTCTTTTTTAGTTCTGCCCTGTGACATTAAAATTGTTTGAATTAAGTGACATTAACATATTTTGAATTAACTACACAACAATTTGACAAACTTCAGCTTCTCTCACACCACAGATTAAAATGAAATGCAGTCATTAATTAAATGAGAGAACAGGATTCTTACAGCTTTTTTCTAAATTACTTCGCTTTTATTATAGGGGTTCCATACTCATACCGCACTGCGAACTACGATCCCAAAAGCATCTGAAAAGGGTTAATGGAATCCCCTTTTCAGCACTATCGACATGCATGAGGATCGCATCAGCTCCATGAAGTAGATTAGAAGACAATAGCAACAAAAATAAGGATTGTATGAGTTTTCGTTTAGTTCAGACATGTGTGTAATGTGTGTGTGTGTGTGGGGGGGTGTGTGTGTGTGTGTGTGTGTGTGTGTTTGTGA